GCGCGCAATTCCACGTTTGAATCAAATCTAGCAAGAATAAATAAAATGTGTTACAGGAGAGAAGTTTGAGTACCGGCCGGTACGTAGATACCGTACGTACGTACATGGAGTAATCTCATTGGTACAGTTTTGGTTTTTGGCAATTCTTGTAGAAGTACTCAAGATTTTTTGGCGCGCGCAAAATGCCAACAACTTTTAGTAGTAACTTTTTCACGTCGTATTGCCCTTCGTTGACAGATTGGGTCATTCCCGCAAACATTAATTTGTGTCTTTTTCGGGCCGTCAGCTCATTTTATGTACTGAAATACATAAAAATTCTGGTGGTTGTTGTAGTAGTGAGTCCACAACAACCAGGATTTATGTATCAAGATACATAGTCTATTGGAATCTTTGACTAAATATTTTCAGTCTCCTCAGCAGACGCACTGTGAAAGAAAGTCACTGGACGCCAAACTGAAAATTTTGATCTTCTTCACTAAAAGAACAACAACAAGAAGAAGCAAGAACAACAAGAAGTGAAGCAGCACCACTTCTTGGTGTTTGCTGCTTCCTCCTCTCTCAGCATGAACAGAACACGTGCAACACAAGGAGGAAAACCAAACAACAAAGGACAAGTACGCTGACCATGATGGGATTGGCTGGCATATGCAGCCCTCTACTTAATAGTACTACTAGTAGTACTAGTAGTATGAGTATTGGCATTCTTCTGATGGAGATAATGCAGGAGCTTGATGAGAGAGGGAGGAGGAAAACCACAAAGTCCCACATGTGCTACACATCAATCATAAAATAGAAGAAGGGGCAGTTTGACTGGCTCCTTTTCCTCTAAATCCACCATGGCTCCAGCTCCAGCTGCAGTGATGGCTCAAAGACCAACAATTGTGCAAGAAAGAGGAGGGAGGAGTTGTGATGCCTGTCATTAGTACAGTCTTACTGGGGAGACCATGTCCATGCTGACAAACCTGAGGGAGATTCTTCCTATTGGATCATATGAATGGAAACTAGTTTTTCAATGCCATGAAGAGATCTGGAATACTGGAAGAGACAAGGATTCCATCATTGGGAAGTTCTTGACCCTCCACAGGAAACCAATTCCAACCACTGGGAATCCAAGCATAACTCCTGTCATCAAGCTTGCAAAGGAGATGAAGCATTTGATTGGTGTCAAGGCAAACTTTGGAGATGGGGAGGAGGAATTTGATTTGGAAGAAGGATACAAGTGATCCTCAGTACTGGCCTACACGACAGGCATCAGTACTAAGCCTTGTGTACTCATTGCAGCCTCTACTACTCAAAGCTTTGCAAGAAATAGAATATTCACAAGAAGAAGAACTTAATCAGCAGGAAGAGACCCAGGGTAACAGGAATGGCACAGCTGGTGCAGTTGCAGTTGTTAATGCAACAACAACTGCAAGAGCTGTATCACCATTGACAACACCAAAGAGAGTCCCCAGAAAGTGTTCTTACAATACTGCCACTGCAAAGGGTGGCATTGTGAATGCCTTGGAGCAAGTTGTTGCTCATCACAAAGGAGCTGATATTACTAGAGCTAGGAAGGAAAGGAAGGAAGCATATCAGTCAATTGGAGGTGCTCTTGGATGCCTTGTCACCAATTGCCATGAAGCACTTGAGTCCAAAAATCTGCAACAAGAAGGGCCGCTGCCACAACAACAGCAGCAGCAATTCCTCATCTAATTCTGAGTCTGATTCCACTTAGATCAAGAATCCCATTGTTGAATCCCACTGTCACATTTATATTTAACTACATTTCATTTATCTAAACTTTTTAAATATCAATCAACAGCCATTTTGGTTTGCTGTACTGCTGTATTACTAGGCATTAGCTCGTGTTGTTCCGTACTATTTCTACACAGTATTCCATGTTATTTTGAGATTTTGTTCAAGTTCAAACAAAGCTTAAGAATACTCCAACTTGCATTGCTTTTATGTTGTATAAAGAATATATTTCTTATTGATTTTATTCTCACCAACTCTTGCAATCATTTGTTTATTCATCATGTAAATTCCTTATTGCTTTGCTTTTATTCAATATATTCAAAATGAATATGTCTTATTGCTTTTATTTGCGCCGCCTAATTATGGAGTCATGTATATTTCTTATAACGTCTTAATGCTTCAACAGACCATGTGAAACTTGTTATTAGTTTAAACTTGTGTAGTTGTGCTGCTGTATTGACTGAAAATGGTAGGTTGTTGACCATGGGAATTCTTTTCATTATCAAGATTGTATTGCTGTAATGCCATATTGCCGTTTGTGTTTTACTGTAGTAGTTGTCCTCTGGTCTGCATGGTTAAAAAGAGAATTCAAAGAGCTTTCAAATGCGGTGGGGGAGTATGGCATCCGACGAATATTCATCAATATACGTGTATGTATATCTAGTATTTCTAATGTACACTTTAAACCGTCTTTTTTTGCTTGGCCCACACTATACGATATACTACTATATAGTATAGTATACTATGCCAAACTGAAGCGTCACTACTATATACTCATGTATTTAGATATACTTCCTCTTTACTATTCCTCAGAAGGAGAAATAGAATTCAGAACAGAACTATTTGATTGTGAGTTCTGTTCTAAAGTCACTCAGTATGATTACTACTGAGACCTACGCCATCCGAGAACTATGGAGTTGAATACACACTTGATCAGTACTGCTCGGCGGATGTATATTTCTACTATATTGCAATTGAAAAGGATTGCAAAGGATCAGCATCAGCACAACACGAGGGATCGTGTAGTGATGAATCTTTTGAGCAATTCAGTTTATTCATTAGTTTTAGTCTCACAATCCTAATTTAGATACAATCTAAATACTACTACTACTACTACTACTACTACTACTACTACTACTACTACTACTACTACTACTACTAAAACAATTCTTCAGTACACGTTATTTCGTGCAAAGTCTAGCAGTAGAATTGTCATTGCTGTTGTTCTTGCTGTTGCTGACCAGGAGATCTGGATCCCTTTGTGTTCTCCTAAAAAGATACTAGTATGGCTTGCCAAGCATGCTGAATGCTGAATCAACCACAACTTTAGCCTCATGCAAGTTATACATGTCCCCAATCTTCCTGTAGACTCCATACTCAGAAATAGTGCTGTTGTGCCAAGATCCTGGGAAGTTCGATGTGGTAGCCCTGATTTTTCCATCAGGGGCAAAGACAAAGACACTGTTTATTTATGTGTCACATGTCCATCCATTGAAGAACATGTTCTGTGCAGACAGTTTGAGGAGGTCGGTAATCCATGTTTCAGCCCATCTGCAGCACCCCAGACTCTTTGCTCTCCAAGTAGCAGGTATTTTTCACCAATAGCTACAATATAAATGTAGATATCCTCTCTGACAGGAGCTCTGACTCTTGCATCAGGACAGTCTTGCAAGACAAAGAGGAGAACACATCTGGAGAACTTGATTCACTGTTGGTGTGAGTGCAAATGCCGTGGGCAGCCCTCTTGCTAGTACTGATCCATGAGTCCTGAACCAGTGCAGGGTTAACCCAAGACAACACAGGGCAGTTGCTTCCCTATGGTATCCCTTTGACATCCCATTGCTGTGGAAAGATCTTCTTCTAGCAATCTAGCCTGTTGCTTCATCAACCAAGTACATGTTGAATACTGGGGCATAGAGTACACTGTGATCTACACTGCAACAGTTTAGAAGAGCTTGCTCATTGACAGAACTAAAACAAGTGAACAAATGAAGACTGATTGTATCTCCTGATTGCAATCCTAGGGGTTCTCCTATCCCTTTGATGCCTTTCCGCTGGAGACAGATCATTTGCTTCCTACTCAAACTCATAGTGTAGAGCTACACCACTAAGGATGATCAGTTTGAGCAACATGGTGCTGATGGTCCTGCTGTTCTGTAAAGAATGATTGATGTGTCATGGACAGGTTCTTGTCAGCACTGCATCAATGTCCATTTGATGCTGCTACAGCACTATGTTTTTGCAATTTTTAGATCTGTGTGAGGCTGCTTAGTGACACTCCAATTGCAACACTTTAAATTTGTTTTGGTGCCTTTCATGATTTTGTGACATTTTAGATCTGTGCGTTTTGGCGCACCCTTTTTGGCTTCCCCAGCTCTCTTTGAGAGTTGAGAACAGGGGTGATGACACATCAGCAGTGACAACTTAAGATTTTTTGGCAGACAAATTTGAGCTCCCCCTGCTCATGACTTCAAAAATTTTGAATCCGCAATTCCAGGAGAAAAGAACGTGTGAGCATGTGTTTATGTAGTACTGTATTTGTGTTGAAAATACATACTATAGAAATGGGTGATTCCCAGTATCCTAGAATGCTAAATTGATAGATTTAGCTATTTAGAATAATAGGAATCAAAATTGAAACAGACAGACTGAGAGGAATGCTGCCTTTGTTATTGCAGTCTTTTTAGGAATTCCTCATCCAATATAATGACTAAAAAGAGGCGCGCACCACTTTGGTGGGCCTTTCTTTTGAGTCTTTCAACTGACTAGAAAATTTTATTTGTGGCTTCCACTCTAAAAGTAGTGTGTTTATGATGGGTTGCTTTGACCAGATCTAAATACTACTAAGTCTGGAGTCATATGCTCTAAATTATCGGTCTGTCAGCCTATCAAATTTAGAGATTTTAGAATAACAGGAATCAACCAAAATTACACACGGTAGATTACATAAATGTTTACGGGAATCACCCATTTCGCACTGCAACTGAATGCTGATTCGGGGAAAGATTTCGCTTTCAATTTCATTTGATGCGAGACACTTCCTTCGCCTTCCTAATAATTACCGTACGGTAGGAACTGATACGTTTACTCTGCTGTAGGGAAAGATATGGCATCAGAGAACTGAAGCAAAAAATACTACGGTACTTCTTCTGTACAGTACAGGTACACACTACTACAGTACTTGTACCAAATTAAAGAAATACCGTAATTTATCTGTGCGAGAAACAATACACGCATCCATACTTCTTGCATATTCATGCCAGCGCGAACCCATCAAACTGAGCTTTGAAGCCGTCTCGATTCTCGCAATCTTCTTTTCCGTCATATGAACCATGTTCTTATCTCATGCTATGCAGTCCGACCAGCGGCTACCGTCGCTGTGCCTTCTTTTCCTCCTTATTGGGATGGCCCCGGTTGGTGTGCTTTCCCGTAGGCAGGGCATCGGTGGGAAAGGGGACTTCCCAATCGCGCGGGGGGCAACCCGAACCCAAATTGGTCCATCCGGATCCAATGTGCACTTTCACCCTGATTTGCAAAGGATGATGGCGTCGGTTTTAGAGCGCCGGAGCCTTCAAGAGGATGACAGCAACGAGACGGCCACTGAAGATCTTATTCCTGCGAATGGATGCATCATTTGTGAAGGCGGAACCCTCCTTCCCGACAAAGTTCCGAACCAAAATTACATTCAGATTCCACCGTTTCAAAATGCAACTTGCCTAGAATGGCAAAACGAATATCTTCCTATGTTTCAACCCGATGGGGAACTCTGCCGATCTGACTTCATGTATCAAGACTTATTTGTTTCATGCTGCACCCTTGCAATTCCACGTTACGAATGCGAACAGAACGTGCACAATCTCCTTGCGACTAATGAAAATTACAACCCCGCTGTTCCGCCGATTGTGAGCAACAATGAGCCTTTAATAGTCAAAACAGATATTATCTTCATAAAAGCGGAGACTATCGACGTCATGACCGGTACGGCTACAATCCTTATTAGCGCCAGTATGGAGTGGAAAGATCCTCGATTAGCTTGGACAATCGAAAGCGAAACCACCTGCGCTGACTACGTTGACATGTGGACAGGATACAACAATCAGGACACATTTATATGGGGTACGATCAATTGAGGCTGTTTCCTCCTAAGCATTGACTGTTGTGAATTTCTATTTGTAATTCGTTGTTCTTTCTCACCTACGATCTGATCTTCATTCACGGCGTGCATCAGTTCCGGACTTGGATTTGCTTAATGTGATTGAAGGGTTGCAAGAATTCTCCTCAACTTTGGCTACGGTCTCCAGCAATGGAGTAGTTAGCTGGTCAGTCTCGGGCTTGATTACAGCAACATGTACAATTACTGGTCTGGGGAGTATTCCTTTCGATACGTTAGGTTGTCAATTCCTCTTTGGAGCAAGATCAAGACAAAACGCCAACATGGTTCATTATCAGTTTCCCACAGAGGCTACAATCAATGTCGCGCAGAGCGACGCAAAATATAACGAGTTCACTCCGTTACCGGAGCTATTCGAAAAAGGATACACTTGGTCCTTTAACACGGATTATCCTCAGGCCATGTATTACAACTTTTACTTCAAACGAGCTGAGGATTTCTACATCTACAATGTTTTGGTACGTTTTGGGGGGTGTCTGTGTGCATGTGCAGGCATATGATTTTTGTCAAATTCTCACTGGTGTCCTTCGCTGGGATTTTACGGTGCAGCTCCCAGCTATGGTCTTGACCTATTGCAGTTTCGGCACATTCTTACTGGATATGCGTGTAGGGTATGTATCGTAACAAATTACACTCGAGGAATTACGTCGGGAATACTTTACTGCATTTATTCTCTGTCATCTCATTCGTCACCATTGAACCCGAAAATTGTCATTGCAAATGAAACTTTGAATTTTAACAGGGAGAGATTGGGCTTTGTGATGGCCCTAGCTCTAGTCATCATCGCTGCACAGATCGTTACATTTGATCTTGTTCCTGTTTCCTCATCAAAGTTGTGGATTGATAAGTTCGTTTCCAGGTCGTTCTATTGGGTACTCACTGTACTTCTACAGTCAGTATTAGTCGCCTTTGTCTCTATTCTGAGGGAAGATCGTAAAGAAAAGAAGGTCCGTCAAGATGAACTAATAGAAAAAGCTTCTGCGAACCAAGCTGCAAACGAGACAGAAAATGTTGCTGGTGTTGTTGCCGGCTCAACTGAGAAGAAAAATGAAGTCGAAGGACGAGAGTTGGAAAAGGAAGAATCGATTGTTTGGACCTTTTCTTTGCGCAAATTTGACTGTAAGTTCACAGTGCTTTCAATGTTTGATAGACGTGTTCACTCTTAGAATAGCAATCGTCGCTCTGGGATACCCGATTTCTTCTAACAATCCGCTGCAGTCATTTGTTTGGCAATTTGTATTGTGACGTATAGTTTGTTTGTCATCGCCATGTTTGTCTCGAATTTTAATGGTTCGTGGACTAAAGAAGATCCAGAGTGGTTCACACCTGATAATTCATTTGGATGGGATGAATTCCCAAACAATCATTACAACGATCCAAACACTGACCTCTGAAATGATTCATGTTGCTTACGCATTCACTTGTGCAGTCAATATTTGGTTGCTTTGCTGTTCAAGATAATTAGATTGGTGGTGATATTTATTTCTTTGTGTATGATTCATCCCTACTCCAAAACTGTGGTTCAGTGCTGTGCCATCAATACCATGGTTATAGAAGTCAGGGCATAAGATGTAGTACATATTACAAGTATCAATAACATTAGCAAAAAAATTAGGAAGACAAGAATGCGTGCAACTTTGTCAAAAAGCATAGGGAAACACAACATTTGCGAATGCACCCTGCATTTTTTCATCTTTTGGTACACAATCTAGTATTAGATATTTGTTGAGACACAATTTTTCTGATTTGAAAACAAAGAGACAGTGGTTGATCTTAGTCCTTTTTTTGTAACCATACAGTGTGATTTGATGACACCAAATGGGATATACATGCTAGTTCAGAGATTACAATGAGCAACAAAGGACTTTGTTTAGGTCATTGCCTGATCATCAGAGCAAAGTCTAATTACTGAGTATCTTGTTTTTCTGCTACTGTCTTCTCTCAGTGGTAGATTGATCCTGATTTCTGAGTTGATCAATTTCCTTGAAGAGTTTGTAATAATTCTAGAAAACATAGAGGACCCAGTACAAAAAATCACCTTGTGAACTACTATTAGAAGAGGCACTATGGCCAGAACCATAACCTCTTTGGACTAGGGAGAAGAATGCTCCTAGCTGCTCCAGGGGGCGGCAGGTCCCTCCAGCAAAGTTTTGTGGAGGCGTGAGCCAATTAAGGCCTGAGGCTGGATTCAGAGGACATAAAAGGAGTTTGTTCACAGTTTGGATGGATGAGAACCATGCCATTGCCAATATCATTTCAAATTGCATTGCCAAGCTAGAAGGCAAGTCACACCATAGTGATCAAGGAAACGAGTGCCAAGCACACTGCCAAGCCAATTAAGGCAAGTCACCTCACAATGGGCAAGGACACATGTGGTGGAGTAGTCAAAAAAATCAAAAAGAAAAAGCCAAAAAAAAGAAAACGAACACCATGACTTCTTGGTATTGTTGGGCCCACACAAACCCTTGGAGGTGGAAGTAAAATATTTTGATGGTTGCAGTTGCACTGCAGTTGTTGTTGTTATCCAACAAGAATGCTGGAATCAAAAATGTCTTGACTGGAATCTTCTTCCAGTCCAAAAATAAGACTGGAACTGGCACATGGAGTAAAGCTGGTGATGAATCTTCTTTCAAGAAGGTGAGTATTGTAGCATACACTCCAGGGATTGTTGTTCTGCAAAGGAAAGGTCTTGGTTGAATACTGGGGGCTGGTGTTCTTGTTGTTGTTGCTGTCCAATACAAATGTCAGAAACAACAACATTGTGACTGGAATCTGCTTCCGGTCCTTAAGAACTGGTGGAGGGATGGAGCTGGCTGAGGCAAACTGCACACAGCTAGGGAGATATTGATCTCAGCAGTATCAGTGTGGTTGAGCACTGGGTGCTGGGGTTGTTGTTTGGTGGTGGTGGTGTCCAACCCAAATGTCAGAAAGGTGGTGGTGGTGGTGCTGCTGCTGCTGCTGCTGTCCAACATTATGTCGGAAACAACAACATTGTGACTGGAATGCTCTTCTGGTCCTTGAATAATACTGGAACTGCGTGGAGATGCTGGGGATTGTTCTTTAAACCAAGTATATAGCATACTCCAGGCATTGTTTTTCAATGGTGGTCAGGTTTTGCTGGTTGAATACTGGGGGCTGAGGGTGTTGTTGTTGTTGCTGCTGTCCAACACTAATGTCAGGAACAACATCATCATCACCAGAATCTGCTGTCAGTCCTTAACAACTGGGAATGGACCCACCAGCTGGGGACAGGGGGTGAAAATCTAGTATAGTCTTGGTTAGATTGCTTGAATGGAGGTCAGAAAGGAGGATTTTCCCCTTCAGGAGGGGGTGTTGCCATGGTGGTTCAGATGTCAGAAGGCCCTGTTCAGGTAGGTACTATGTAGGAATCAGTAGGAAATCTAGGTGATAATTTTCAGATGCAAAGTGTAATTTTTGAAAAAAAATTAATGTGAAAATTGTAGAGAACCCAGTACAGTTGCCCTGAGGGATGGTACCCAGAGTAGATTGTAACAATTAGGTACAAATCACCAAAGCACCACCCTCAACAACACATTTGTGACACCTCCTCTATCGTATAGAGTTGGCCAGCTAATGTACAGTCCCAGTCGTAGATTAGGGGCCATCTAATTACCGTGTAACGACTCATGGGATTAAAAATTTAACCATACGAAATCCACGTGCTCAGTACATAATCGAATTTTTGAATCCCACCAAAATGGTTTTGCTCACGTGCAAAATAGTTTCGCTCGCACGTGCACAATGTAGCCCTGGTAGAAGTCAAATTTTAATCCCACGAGTCATTACACGGTAATAGTTTCGCGCACGTGCAAAATAGTTTTTTGCTTTACCATTGTGGGACTCAAATCCGTTGAGTTGAAGCAGTCTTAACACGGTAATTAGATGGCCGCTAATCCATGCACACGTATAATTTAACCGTATAACTGTTTTAGTCTTGAACTGACAGTTTGGGCAATAACTTTTTCCCCAACGGACGCTTAAGTATGATAAGCACATGGTTAAAACGAGAATTCAAAGAGCTTTCCAATGGCGTGGGGGAGTACGGCGTACCACGAATATTCACTGATATACGTTTACGTATATATTGAATTGCTAATGTACGACTGGTGCGTCTTTTTTTGCTTGGCCCACGCTATACGATAAGTCAATCAGCTGTCATCAACAGAAACCATGCTAACATCAAACTCAGAACTGTTGCACAGAAGATGTTAAATTGTCAGAGACTAGATTTTCTGTAGTAAAGATCAGCCCAAATCCAATACAACAACTGAATGCATATCACTTGCCTACTAGTACCAAAACACTGTTCAATGCAAGATTAGGGCACTGGTACTAGTCTTCTCCATAGATTCAGATACATACTATGTTGTTTAACCTGAGTGCTAAAGTGTGGATGATGTAATTGGTCATTGATTGTTTAACTCCTTTCTGTTGAAAATGCTTATTGCACAACAACAGACATTCCAAGTTTTGGGCCAAACTTCTTTTTGAATCTTGCACTGCATTCAAACTTGGTTGAATGTTTTTCTTCTCTTATTTGGTTCCTTATTTGGTTGGTGATTTGGTTAGTCATTTGCTTCCTTCTTCTGTTTCTTCTTTGGTTCCCCCCTGTTCCTTTCAAGGTGTGTGCTGTGCTCTTACATAGGCGAGTTACACCCTTGTTTGTCTTCATCCAAAATGTGTAGAATTTTCAAAACATTTTTTTCAAAATCCATGAATCTTGTTTGCACGCCTGAAATTAAACTTTGGTTCTAACATTATCACACAGGAGGATTGCTAGTGATTCCCACATGACTAAATACCCCCTGACTTGTTCCACCTTCTGACATCTGACTGACCATGGTTACAAACCCTTCCAAAAGCAAAAGCAAAACCCCTCCCCCTTGCACCCATCATCAAAGAACCATGTTACTGATGTTATTACATTTAATAGGAGTGCTTTTGTGAGTGTCTTCCAGTCACACCAACAATGAAGTTGTTGCAAGCATTCAGGACAGATGACAATAGTAGTATCACCACCACCACCACCACCAACAACAACAACAACAACAGCAGCAGCAGCAGCAGCAGCAGCAGCAACAACAACAGCAACAATAACCCAATAAAAATCCAGGCCTATCAGATCTAGGAAAGACCATCCAAGAAAAAGGTACCAGCCCCCAAGTTTGGTGGAGTGCTGGCCTGTTTTTCTGATACCTTCCTGGCAGCAGCATTACCAAAGCTGCAGCAAATGCCATTTCAGGTTCCTTCACTTGAGGCATTTGTGACAGCTGACAATGACACAAGTCTGAATCCAAATGCCACATGTCCCAACCAAGTTTTAACCAATACCAACACCTATCCTTGAAGAACAATGTCTTGAGCACATACTAAATACTCAGTTTGAAGTCCCAGCATCTCAGCACCAGTTCATTATACTAATATCTACAGAACAGAAGACATAATGCTGTTGTTTCCAAACTTTTTGTGGGATGACAACTTTCTAAACCAGTGAAAATTGCTTTGAAGAATATTTTCACCCTGCGCAAGAATCTTGGTCACTGTAAATCACCCTGTGATTCCTCATATTCAGCCCATCTTTCTGCACTACTTTCCAAAGCAGACTTGATTTGCTCTACCATCCATCAATGCTCCCCTAATGGACCTACAACATTAATGCTATATAAAGCAGTGTTGCTTCTAGCAATTCAGTATCCCTTAACCCAGTCCTTCTTGTCTTCTGCTCGATTGCTCCAGCAGGAACTGAAGTATCTCCCTCACATCTTCTCCCTTTGTAGTTATGCTAGAAGTTCTGCCAAAACAATTTCCAACATCAGTTTGTGGCAGGGCAGGTTTTATTCCTCTGGAGGTCATCACTGGCAGAGGCTATGTTATCAATTTTTGAAACATTGGAGATCACATGACATTGCAGGGAAGCTTCTTCAAACTGCCCTCTAGTGGTTTCAATTATTTTCAGGTATCTCTAAACCTGTCCTTGAATTTCCCTCCATTGACTTCCATATATCCTAGGTAAATATTTCCATTGTGCTTGCAGATATTTGTCACTATCAGTGGCACCATCAATGTTGACAATACAGGGCTTATACTGCCACTCCAGTGTGGAAATAACATCATTATGGACCTTGCACTTGCCAGACTCACCAATGTACTCAAGATTTCAAAAGCTCATGTACGTGCACTCTGCCAGATTAATCCAGTCCAACTGTATCTCAAGGTTCAATGGCTCAGTGAATTGCTGTGTCTTCCTGGTACAAACACAGTGTCTCCCAGTCTCTTCTCCCACCATGTTTGGAATTCTACCATCCTTCCACTACAAATCCATGCCAGCCAAATCCTGAACAAAGAAGCTGGAATCCTTTTAGTAAACTCCTTTGCAGCAGTTCCCAGGGCCCTCCTGCCACCAACAAGATTCTGAACGCAGCTCACTGACTTGGCAATTGATATCCTCTCATGCTACCCATGTTTTGTGTGGAGAGCTTATCTGTCTATGATCATCACATCTGGACTTCACCACATCCAGGCCCATGGCTGGTCCATCCTTTTTTTGACTCGGATTGGATCCCCACAAGCAACACCTTTCTCTGAACCCCCCCCCCCCCCCCGGTAAACATGTCCCAGCTTTCACCTGGACAACCAAAACTGGTGGGGTTTTTCAATATGATCCAGTGAGTGTCCAACTATTCCCCCACATCACAAGCAAGCCTTCACCTCAAATTTCCCATACATGCCCTGCCCTTTTATGCTACGCTGATCCAAGGCAACACCAGCTCCTCAAACATGTAGATTTTGAGATCAGCATCTCACAAGCACTGGATGTGCTTGCTTCAGGGACAGCTCATCTCATGGTTTTAGATGGATCTGGTAAAGATGGTTGCATGTACTTTTGATGGTCTCTACTAGCTACCACAGCTTGGGAAACAATTGAGCATGTATTTGGCCCATGTTTTGCAACTAAAAGTTCTCTTTGCATTATTATCTGCCAGTCTTTTTGTTACTCTGCTTGCCTCACACCATCACCAACAGAAACATGTCATGAAACCTTGCCTTCATTCTAGAAATGGAATGCATTCAAAAACTCACCTTGATGATACAGATCTTCCATTAACATCTTCACTGACCTCTCATATTCTCACAAAAACTCAAAGTTGTTCCTGTTTGGGGACAGAAATGGAAATTTTTCAAAATTTGAACAAATAATTGAATGCTATGCCTCTTCAACAGAAACAAGTCCTGAGACCTCCTTGTATTCATCGCATGTCCCTGATGCCTACTCCAACAAGAGGCATCACAAGCAGCAGCTGCTCCTGGAGTGATGCTTGTTTCTGCCAGGTGGTGAATTTGTATCCTAAATTTCTAGAAGCTGGGACAAACTTCCTCATATGGAGTACTCCTCCAAATGAATTGAGTGAGAGGAAAAGATGCTTCAAAACATTATGATCAACTACTACGTCACGTAAAAACAACCTAAATGACTAATACCAAGCCAATACAGTCCCCCCAGTGGGGTGAATTCCTGAAGTCTGGATGGACACAACTGAAGAGACACCACGAGGTAAGCGTATTTGGCAAACCAGTTGACTCAACAGAAGACACAGTCACAGTACCTTGGGCATGGACATATATTGAAGAGGAGCTCCCCTCAACAGTTGATAATGAACCAAAATCCAGAGGCAACTGGAAAGGAGGGAAGTGGTTACCGCAAAGTCACACCGGCTGAAATATATGCAGGATGCGCGGAAATTTCCATTTATTACTATCTCACATAGGCTCTTACCGCTGCTCTCAACCTCATGCACCGTGTAGGATATGATGTAAGGTATCAATCCTAAAACGACTACAGTTATCAATAGTATAGGTAATTCTTAGTCTCTACGGCAGTTCTAATTTTACACGCTATTTATTCTCATAGACCTTTTCCACAAAAATCTAAAAGCATTTTGTGCAACAATCGCAATTTACCTTGTCGCTAGCACAATCGACCCCCAAATATGCCAAATCCTCGTCTTTAGTTAATGCACACACTTCTTTTGGCACATCTCCTGTAAGATTGTTATCGTACAATCGAGCTTGCTTGAGATTTACCAGATTGCCTATTTCTGGTGGGACTTTTCCTTCCAGTTTGTTGGATTCGAATTCCAATTCAACCAATCGATGTAAATTCCCAATGTCCGGAGGGATCGTACCCGTTATCGAGTTTCGACTCAGCTTGAATCCTTCCAGACTATTTAGAGCAGAAATAAGGTTAGGAATCGTTCCGCCAATGTTGTTGCCATCTATTTCGAATCGTTTTAAATCGACCATAAGTCCCACTTGTCGCGGTATAGTTCCCGTCAACTTATTTTCGCCCAAGAAAAATCCCTGAATATCTTTCAGGTGACCGATGGAGGTTGGGATTTGTCCACCGAAGTGGTTGTTGCTAAGATTAAGTTCCGTCAGTCGGGTCACCTTCTTGAAAATTTCTCCCGGGATGGTGCCTCGCAAGTTCATTTTGTTCAGTATAAGTAATTCTGTTGTAAAGGAACACGATTAACATTTTAATGAGTAACGAGAAATCCAATGGAAGAAATCGCTACGCATGTGGAAAGAAAAAAATCAATGCTCATTCAGAAAAAGCTTGATCGTGCACCAACTCACCGAGTTTAGTTAATTTTTCAATTTCTGAGGGAAGAAGTCCAGTCAAATGGTTTCCACTCAAATTTATTTCCACGAGCGATGTCAACTTGGACAAACTTCCTGGAAAGGGCCCTTCTAAGTTGTTCTCTTTCAAATACAACTTTTTGAGTTTGCTCAAATCTTCCAGATCGGGGATCTTGCCACTCAATTGATTTCTATCCAATCCCAACGATCGCAGATCAACCATATGCTCCATTTCACTAGGAATGGGACCATGCAATTGATTTTCACCCAAGTTCAACCATACCATGTTCGTCAATTTGATTCCAAAACCCTTAGGAATGGTCCCGCTCAACTTGTTATTCCTAAGAATCAAACTCCTGAGCCCTGTCAAGGTTTCGAAGTTCTTCGGTAAATTTCCCGTCAGACCGTTGTGGGAGAAATCTAGTCGCTGCAAGAGCGAGAAAGCGCTCAGTTCCGACGGCAAGACACCGTCTAATCCATTCTGAGATAAATCTAGGGCGAGGACGTCTCCATCTTCGTTGTTGCGGTGTTCGGTAGAGTCTGCAATACATTTTACCCCGTGCCAACTGCAGAATCCGGCACCGGTCATCCAGTTGGTTTGATTAACCCACTGGCCATTGGCGTTTGGGTCGATATGGTCCTCTGTGCCGGCCGTGCTGTAAAACAAAACGGCGAGTGCGTACCGTTGCATCGCATGGGCATCTGCAACGTCTAGCTTGGCTCCGTCGTCATTCGCCAGCCACTGCAAGGCATGATACTGAGGAGTCCCCGTAGTTTCGATGTCCCCTTCCAAGCTCAGTCCCAACTCAACAATCTTGCTTTGAAATTCCTGGATTCGTTTTTCGTCGACGTGTTCGGGGCTTTCCCTGCCACTTGCTACCACGAAGCTCGTCCACACGCACACGGCAAGAATCCCAATCAAAACTATCGCACACAGACATCTTTTCGAGCTGTAGTCGCGCCCTCTCGTGTTTTCGTTGCCGTAAGGGACCGAGGTCACTGTGGGAAATCCGCTAAGATTGGTATTCCTTCTTACAGACTTGTTGAAGTTCACCGAGCCGAACGACTCGTCTTCGTCGTAGAGAAACCTTCTGGCGCTCTCAATCTTCGAATTCGAAAGGCCCTGATTATAACTTCCACGACGCATAATGCCATCATTATTTAAAGAAGTCATGCCAAAGTCCAGTGGTAAGTAGTTTTGGCTAAATGTGTGATATTGAAGCAAAAAAGTTTGATGATTGCCAGATTATGCGACTTTTCAATACTCGTGCTGTTACAATCCCTCCTGATTTTTTGTACGGCTTAATGCAGTTTTTCTTGAGCGATCGCTTCCTCTTCCGGACCTTCGTACTGCACGTTGTCTTGTAGACTTGGATTTAGATGTTGATGGCGTCGTCGCGGAGACTAGCAAGCACACAAGTTGCTCGTCTCCATAAGTATTCGTAAATGCATCAAATTTTCGTTGTTTTCTCGCGGAGAAAAGACCATGGCAAATCGTGGTAAGCTACCTTCACTTTAAATGTGGAGTTCAAAGTGGCGGCAGTAAGATCGAAAGACCATCTGGTCATCAAAAATGACTCTTCTCTTCCTCCTACTTGACATAAATTATTCGACCCCGTTTTCATAAAAAATAAAAAATGGAATAAGATTACGAGAATTTGTACCAGTTGTTGGTACTGTAGTTGGGCAATACTTGTACCGTAAGGTAACTGAATCGTGTCGTTTTTTGTTTTTAGGCCATTTCAAGTTCTTACTAGTAGAAGTACTGTACGTACTTCGTAGTCCCGTACTACTGCGTACTAGGACGATTACTAAAAGTACTTGTAACAAACACGACGTCCGTCCTCTGATTTTTGTTGCAGATGTCTCCCCTCACGGTATTTAAAAGAAAATTCGAGGCGTGTGTGCCGAGGACGTGCAACCAAACTGACTTCTTGTACTGGTGATCAGAGGTACCAAGTTCCTTTAGGGCCTCCCAAAAGGAGCTCCTCCAAAGGAATTTAGTTCCACTGATTACCAGCAGTGGTACAATGAGGAGAATAGAGGTGTTAGTTGTGCAATCCAATGCTTGCACAGTTGAGCAGAGTGGAGGAGACCCTTTTTTGCCATTGTCCACTGCTTCTTGTTGTTGTTGTTTCTTGTTGCTGTTTCTTCTTGTTGGTGCAGCTGCTGCTATTTGCTGGTAGGGACAAGAACAAAAAACCTGTAGTCTTGGTTTTCCAGCCTTTGCATAGACCAAGTACTACAAGTTGGTACTGGTGGAGTAGGTCAACAAAAAACCTGTATTGCTACTATGGCCTTCTTCTTTGCATATACCCAGTACAAGTTGGTGGTACCAGAGTACTTTTATGTGGTACTGGAGTGCCACTTTTTAAACAAATCAAAAACACAATTCAGTAGTAGAATGTGCACTACATTCTATCCTGACAATGCTGAGAAGCTTCTTCCATATTTTATCAAGCTTGTGTCAGCAGCAGCCCTTGTAGCATATCAGCAGCACCAGCCTCATCCGCATTGTATCAGCAGCAGTGTTTGTATCATCAACAGCATTCATATTGTAAATGCTGCAATTAGATGCTACAAATGAACTACACGCACTGTCTTTCTTGGTGTAGGGGAATGGGCTCTTTCCCCTTCCACCAATCCCTCCCTGTATCTGGAAAATGAACTACAAGTGCTGCCTCCTCCAATACAGCAGGGGAACCATATCTTTTTCCTCCAGGTCCCTCCCTGGATCTGGAAAATGAACTACTTCAAGCACTGTCTCCTCTGATATAGGGGAAGAACAGGCTCTCATCCCTCCCTGCTGGTAGTTCTGTGTCTGCTGTTTGCCTGCAAATTGGGTGTCCATTTGTATCAGCGTCCTCTGTATCAGGATCTGTATCAGTAACTTGTATCAGTGTCTCCTTTGTACTATCAGCTTCCTCCATACCAACAACTCATATCAGCATCTTCTCTATATCAGCATCCTCCTCTGTCCTATCAGTGTCTGTATCGTCAGTAGTGTCTTTATCAGCAACTCAAATCAGTCGTGTCCTCCTTATCAGCATCCTACTACTCTGTATCAGTATCAGCAGCAGCACCTGTAGATAGCACTACTAGAGCACAGCAGTAGTACATAGTAAGATGGTGGTACCAGAGGACCACTTTCATTTTTGTCTGTTGAGCCTATTATAATACCTCATTTTTAGCTTACTCCTGAGCATGCAAAAATTGGATTACCTGAGTAATATTTACAATTACCAAAACAATACTACAAAAAGTACAACTTCTTTACACTCTACTAGTAGTAGCTACTACTGAAGCCCCACAGAGCAAGGAATCAACAGGCATTTAATTTAAAAATCAACTGCTGCTTGCAACAGCTGCCATTAGTCCTGCTAGTGCTACTAGTACTATTACTAGTACTAGTAGTACTCCTCCTCTTGTCAGCAGCAGAAGAAAGTAGTATCTTTGTTCCTGCATTTGTTCAAATGAAGAGGAGAATACTAGAAAGGACAAGGAAAGCAAACTATCAATCATAACTTGTTCAAGTACTAGGTGAATACAATAGTATGATGAAAAAGAAATAAAAAGTTTCAATAAAATGAATACTAGTAGTAGTAGTAGTAGTAGTAGTTGTTGTTGTAAGACACCACCAGAAAGAAACAACAATGTAAAGAAGAAACAAGTAAGCAACTGTACTAGTACTACTAGTAGCACTAGTAGTAGTAGGGATCATTGGAAACCTTCTGGTACTTCGCGTCCAGGATTTTTGTTGCCTCAGTGGGTCTTTTTGTTGCTAAATAACTGTCCGAACCAATTGCACGTCTGCAATGTGTTG